CGGCAGGAGTGACAGGCAGGCTCCCAAGCTGCCCTCAGGAATCTCCCCATCACCCATCGTTTCCATCCCCGTCTCCCTCACCAGTGCGCCGTCGGCCAGAGCAATTACCTCCCTTTTGCAAAGGAAACTCTGCAGGAGAGATGGCGTTGGCCACAGTCATCCTTACGAGTCCAGGGCTGGAAGCAGAAGCATCCCTAATCCCCCGCTTTTGTAATTGGAGAGCGGTCCTCCTGCTGGAGATAATCCCAGCCCTCAAGGCTGCAGCCCCAGCGCTCGGCACTGGAAGCAGGACCCCAACGCTCCTCTCTGGAGCCAGAAATGAACGGGAAAAGCCCCTGAGCAGGCTCGTCCCCCGCAGAGCAGCATGGCTGGGGACAACTCACCACAAAAAGGGTCAACAGAAACGTTTTGAAATCTGGAGGCTGGATGCTGCTGCAGTACCCATCGACAGCCGTGCGGCTGCAAAGGGCAGGGCAGGCCTGACGCCAGAGCTGCTGCCTGTCGCCCAGAGAGGAGCCAGAGCAGGGCAGGAACAGCCGGCTGCCAGCTCCTGGTTCACACTTCCAAGCCCTTCTGGATCACTTGGGATGGCTGTGCACTTTCTCCCTGTTCCACGTTACACCAAATATCGATGTATGCCACAGAGCTGGGAAGAAGGTCACTCAGGACAAAGTCGCTGTATCTGGCAACTGTCCCAGAGGGATGCTGTGCAGGGAAGCGGGCAAGGACCTGGCCCAGCAGGGAACTCCTCAGAGCACCCCCAGTTAGGACAGGGGCAAAAGCCTCAGGGTACAGCCTTGAAGGGTGTCACTCATGCAGTGCCCACCGCATTCTCATGGATGCGGCCGGAGACAGGAACTAAAACATCCATCTCTTTATTTCATTTGCAAGAAACAACAACATCCAAACAGTCCAAGTCGAAAAGCAATGGGAACGCAGACTCACACCAGGCCCTCGGCCTGCTGGAGCTGGCACCCTCACAGAGTTACAAAAATACAGTCCTACAACAGCATCTAGAAACACAGACCCAGGTATTGCACAGAACCCCTGCCCTCCATGGACAGGGCGACCAACACCCCCTCCGCCTTCGCCGAAATACAAGCCAGGCTTGGAATTGCACAGCAACTCAGCTCACGTGCACACGGAGGGGCCACACGGCGAGGGGGACAGTGTGTCTCTCAACTACCTGTACAAAAACTATAAGGGAAGATACAAAACTGGGGAGAAAAGGGGAAGCTGGGGCTGTAAACGCCTGTGGGCCAGGCTGGGCATCCCGACTCGGGGGCAGCAGTTTGCAGCTTTGAGAAGATGACAGCGCCTTGTCTGTTGGTGGCCAGTGAGCAGTGCTGATGGGAACTCTGCACACTGCTGGAGCATCCCAGCTCTGAACATGGTGGGACACTGTTGTTATTAATGGCCAATACCGACACTGGCCCCTGGCACTCTGCACTGCGCCTCTGCTCCCCACCACAGCATCCCCCATCGTCCAAGGGAACTCTGACCCTATCCAAAAAGCCTGAAGGGTATTCTGGTTCTCTGCAGTATCCTCATACCCTTTTTTTGGTATTGGTATTAGGAGAGATTTGAACTGTGCCACCCAGCACTACCCAGTGGGTGCAGCTGGGTGTGAGTGCAGGTGGACCCACACAGCAGCAGCATCCTCCCCTGGGACCCAAGCTGCTTCACAGCTGCTGCCCACCCAAAGGGGCCGAGCAGGGCTGCAGGACCTAGAGCCATCAACTCTCCTCCTCTGCTGGCACCTCCTGGTCCCAGAGACTGTCAGTGCTGCAAAAGCCTTGTTGAAGGGCAGGCTTGGTGCCTCTGCAGATGGTCAGCACCCATAGCACCCACAGAGGAAATTGGTCGTGGTGCCTCGTGCCCTATGGCAGATGGTAGGTGAAATGCCATCCCATTGCAGGTGTGACTCGGGGCTGGGAGCCCTGATGTTTTCTATCCATCCAAATCCCTCTTTCTGATAAAACTGGAGAGGGTGAGCTGATGACCTGCCCAGGGAGCTTGTGTCTGGGCTGGGCGAGCTCCCAAGTTTTCCCTGCAAAGCCCTGTGCCCAGTTGGGGGGATGGCAGGAGTCAGACTCAGAGGACACGTGTTGACAGGTTGGGAGGCATGGGGGGGAATCCCTGAGAGCAGCACTGACCCCAGCACTGCCCCTCCAGCCCCGTACAATGTCTAGCATTGGGGTCAGGGAGGGGGGAGCTGAAGCAGGGAGGGCAGCCAGATCGAAGTCAGCATTTGAGAAATCCAACGGGCTCCACCGCAGCCACTGCCCAAGCCAAGCGCAACTCCCCACCATGGCTACAGGCTGCAGCAGGCTCACGAAGAGATGCTCAGCAGATACCGGGTGTGCAGGCCACCCTACTCAGCCCTGCGAAGGGAAGGACAGTGGGAGGGCTCAGTAGCCTTCCTCCATGCTGTCTCTGCCCTGGGCCAGACTGCCAGTGGCTGAGCACTAAAGGCAACCAGGAGGGCAGCAGCTGCCCTGCTTCCAGCTGCACCAGTCCCAGGTGCTCTGAGGAAAGGCTGGGTGCGCCAGGGACTTCCCTTCTGCCACAGAAGGCCCCGGCAGGGCAACGGAAAGACCCGCATAGCCCCAGATTGACAGGAGGGAGGAGGAGGCAGGGGCAGTAAGTCATGGTGCTTCCCTTGGGGCAAAGTCTGAGGCTCACGGCCTCTGCTGTCTACCCGCAGAGCCTGCGACTCCTGCGGCTTGCCAGACAGGAGAGGAGGAACAGGACATGAACCTAGCTAAGCATCTAAAGGAGGGGCACTGCCGGCAGGGAGAGGGGGCGAGCAATGATATCCCACAAGGATCATAGGTAGGAGCCTGCAGAGGGGGGGCGCTGGCATCACTCCCGTGCACAAGGGTGACGTGGGGCTTCAGCCTGGCCCGCCCCAACAGGACTGCAGGATGGAGCCCATCCAGGGCAGGGAATGTGGTAGATGAGGGGTGAAAGGGGACACACACAAAGAGCCAGGCTTCAAGTCCCAAATACTCATTGTCCTCATAAACAGAGTCCCAGCCCAGCCTGGGGCAGAGCTCTGCTGTCTCCATCTTCTCAGGGGACCAGGTTGACATCTAGGGAGGGCTGGGCCAGACTCACAGCTCTGCCAGTTGCCGTCATCATCCTCTTCTCATCCTGCCTGAGCTGGCTTGGGCTAAGGCACACCGAGCACTACACAGCTGTCTCCTGGTCCTCCCGCTGGATCATCTGGTAGTGCTGTCGGTTCTCGAGGTAGGCAGCTAAGTCAGGATCGTTGGCTTTCTCAGCTCGGTGTTTGGGGGTGTCTCCCTGCGTAGGGGAGGCAAAAGATGTCAGAGTGCCAAGCACTGCCTAAACACTGCCTTGGCACCTAAAGGTGTCCCCGTTCCCGCACTGAAAAGATGGCTGCAGCTGGGTCCAGCAGAGCCCACAGCCAAGCCCCGAGGTAGGTGGTAGCCGAATGCTCATGTGCTCGCCACAGAGCAAAAACGTGCTCCTGAGGAGCCTGACTTTGCTGCAGGGCTGGAAACTGTCCCCTGAAGGGCCATCAGCCCCGCATGTGGGCCAGGATAGAAACTGGCCCCGACTGTCACCAGCCCTCCTCTCCAGAGGTGACAAAGGTTGGTCCCCATGACCTGCTCTTCCCTAACGCTGGGGAAGCAGACAGGAGAGGGTGAGGAATGAGGGGTATGTCTGGGGAATGCCCGGGAATACCAACCCCCCTTCCCTCTCGCAGCCTGGCTAGCGCTCCTGCTCCCGGAGGAGGATCGCATTTCACCAGCTTATTGCAGCCATCTGGACTGTGTCCACTAATGAACTCCTGCACTCCATAAAAAGCAAATCTGTTAACAGCTCCCAGCTCCGTCTCCCTTTCCCCCTTCCCTCCCCCTGCTCCTTGCTCCTCCTCGCCAAACGCCCGGGCTCTGCTCTGCTGCTGAGAAAGGCTGCAGAAACCTGGCACTCTGCCGCAGCCATTGAAAACCTGCCACAGAAGGGATGCCTGGCCTGCTCGGCTTTTC